ATTAAAATCTGATTAGTAAATGCACATTGAAGTGTTTAGAGGGAAAGTGCACTGATATCCACAACGTACTTTGTCATTGTTCAAATAAAGGGAGGTGAGCCCTGGCCAGTTTTCTCAGTGGTTAGAGCTCGGCCCCCACACACCGAACGGTCGTGGGTTCGATTCCCAGTCAAGGGCAGGAACCTGGGTTGCAGTTTCAATCCTCTTCAGGAGGCAACCAATGATGTCTTTATCTCTCTCTCTGTTTCTCTCTCTCTCTCTCCCTCCCTCCTTCTTTTACACTCTCCCCAAAATCTATAGAAAAAATATCCTTGGGGAGCAGAAAAAAGAAAAAGAAAAAATGTTATCAGGTGAGGATTAACAAAAACATTGACAACAACAACAACAAAGGTGAATGGATGGACGGTTAGAGAGGTGAATAAATGGATAAAAGTATGGTAGATAATTGTAGGTGCTGGGTATATAGATTAGCTATAAAATATTCTTTTCTTTTATTTTTTTTAAACAGATTTTTTTTTATTCCTCACCTGAGAATATTTTTCCACTGATTTTTAGAGAGAGTGGAAGAGAGAGGAAAAGACAGAGAGAAATATCCATCTAATGTTTATCTTTCCTAACTTGTATAATATACATACAAACCACCTTTTTTCCTAGTCATGAAAGCATACTGTTTTCTACAATTAACTGGAATTGAAAGAATCTTACTACATGTTGATACTTAAGAGTTTAGCAAAGGTTCTTTAATTTTGTGTGGCTGTGAGGTTGGGTCAGGTGTTTATTTGTGTCCGAGACCACATATTCTACATTAAAAATAGCACAGTTGGAAACTGAAGTTCCATTTCTAGACTATTGGGAAACACAAAAGAAAGTGAAATTAAGGATTAAGGGTTCCTGCTACTAAGCTGCAGAACACTCATTGTACTAGAGATGCAATGATTCAATTCAATTCCATTGTAGAATGATGTGAAAATGAAACTGATGGGAGAGCAAATGGAAACAGCTGTGTTTTACTGCAACACAGACAGTCTGCACATTTTGCTGCTTATTTATAATGAAAATGGAAATTGTAAGTGACAGGCTGAGGGTAGTTTATAAAGCAAACATTTTTGAAGCCTTGGAGGTGCTATTGCTTTTTGAAAGGCAACCAGCTGACCCACCTTTTGAATTATGCATGGTCACTGAATTCTGTTACAATGATGGAAACACAGACTTTCGTATCAAAAGAAAAATGCTTGAGACATAAAACAAAGTTTGATAGAGCCCCAAATATATTATTATTTTCTAAATTCTAATTCAGAATAGGTTATTGATCAGAATATTTCTGGTTTAGCCTTAACCAGTTGGGCTCAATGGATAGAGCATCAGCCAGTGGACTGAAGTGCCCCGGGTTCTATTCTGGTCAAGGGCATGTACCTTGCTTGTGGGCTCAATCCACAGCAGGGGTTGTTCAGGAAGAGGGGGTGTGCAGGAGGCAGCTGATCTATGTTTCTAACTCTCTATCCCTCTCCCTTCCTCTCTGTAAAAAAATCAATAAAATATATATTTTTTAAAAATAAATAAAATATGGGAGGAAATATATGGTGAAAGCATTAGCGCAGTCATTAATTGAATTATATTTTTAAATGATGAATTGCAAATTGTGTACCTATGGGGAAGTGGATTACAATCCTGATATGTAATTACTGCCATTAATTGATGTGTGGGGCTCTGAACTGGAAACATTTATTTTATTATTTAAAAAATCATTTTTTGAGAGATTTGTTTCTCCACTTATTTCTGTATTCATTGGGTGCTTCTTGTATGTGCCCTGACCCGGGATCGAACCTGCAACCTTGGGATGTCTGGGCAACAGGACGCTCTAACCAACTGAGCTACCAGATCAGGGAGGAAAAAGTGTTCATATTATTAAATAAATCTCTCCATCTCATCACACCACTCGTGTGAGGGATCTGCATTTTACCTGGGAGGGGCTGAAGTCCCGAGAGCCGATTCAAAGACCGACTTTAGGGCGCAGGAGGAGTTTCAGGCGAAGTTGATTTGCGAAATTTCCACGGCGGGAGGGGAGAGGGGATCACCCGCAGTTTGTGGAG